GAATTTCAGTAATATTTTTAAGGCACAAAAACAATGTCGAAGTAAATACATAAAAAAGGGACTAACGGCCTAGGTATAAAAAGAACCCCCCCAGACTTTAAGGCCCCCTTTGGTCTCCATTGAAGGTAGTAGTCTTAGCCCGAAGATCACTGTTTTCATGCTTAGCTGAGACCCCTTTGACAGGATTTGACCGAGCTTGATGAGGAGCATATATGTCGGCTTCAACATTGTCTACCACCACGTCATAACTTAGAAACTTCCCATTATGCCTACAATAAAAACAAGAAGTGTCATATTTTAATATTTGTCAGTATATATTTTGACACTTATTTGATTCCTTTTCACATAGTTTGTAATTAGATTTCATGTAATTTATATTTTAATGTATTTAAGTCATGTCATTTAAATTTAACAACTTTACCCTTAATTTTGTTAAATAATAGAAGATATTTGATCCATTTTTCTTGTGTGAATTTTCTTAAGGGCAAAGGCTTGATGAGGTGTTCACATTTATAGCTTTATATTGTCTTCAACACACCCTTCATATGCCTTGTTTTGAGAGTTTTTACCATTTCTCATTGATAGAAATGATTTGAGCTTTTTTTTGCATGAATGTAATTTTGTATTTTGAGCTTTTCTGACCTCTATCAACTCTTTTGGCCATATCTTTTTCTACATATATTATTTTTGGCTAATTCATATATGGTTTACTGGATTTAGAGTCGTTTTCCAATTTTTATGATTTTTTTAAGATGAGACTGATTTGCTAAAGTCGCCTAGAATTCAAGTGTTGCTCAAGCGAGATAATTCTCGCTTGAGCAAAAAATGCAGAATTCAGAACAAATTTTTTGCTGGTTTTCTCGCTTGAGTGAGAATGGACCTCGCCTGAGCGAGAATTGACTCGCTTGAGCGAGAGTTTGAGCAAGAAATCGTGCAACAAACCTTGCTCTCGGGTTAGGTTTCACTTGAGCAAAAATTGGCTTGCTTGAGCGAGAATTCACTTATTGTCCTATAAAAACAGAAGATTCAGCTCAAAAATAGAGAGCCGGAGCGGGCTTTGAAGCCCTAGCACATCATTGACCCAATTTTGTAGTGCAGAGCAAGAGAAGCATGGGGAAGCAGCCATATCATCGAGGAACTAATTCATATCTCTTTCCCATGTATTTCCTTGTTGTTTCATATGCCATGAACGGCTAGAACTTTAGGGATTGGATGTAATCTTTATACTTTGAATGTTTTAGTATTTTTAATATATATTTGTTCATTTGTCATGAGTTGGGTGTGTTTATTTTGATATTAATGCTTGTTTTTACCCTACGGGGATTGATTCATGATTTCGAAATCCAGGGTGAGTTAGGAAACTACCTTAGAACCTAGTTGGGGTAAATACACGCAATAGGTTGAAACTCTAGGAATAGGTTTTAATCTATTGTATGCTATATAACTCTTGCTAGTAATACTAGATTATTTGTTGTTTAGGTTAGGAAGTGTCACTCAATAAGTATATCTTAGAATCTCAGATGAGAGGAATCCATCGAGTGAATATAATGAGAGTGCATCATAGAACTTTGGTATTTGTTCAATGTGTGTTAAAACCAAATATAAATAGGGTGATAGATGAAGTTCAAACCTCAATCTTATCATAGTAGTTTAATTTGCTTTTATTTGCATTTATTTTCTGTGAACCAAACTATCAAAAACCCAAAATATCACTTAGTTGTATATTTGTGAATATTTAGGTGTTTTTTATAATTTTAATTTAGATAACTGAAATTACTAGAGTATCAACATTCCCTGTGGACACGACAACCTTTTATACTACATTGAAAACTTGGTACACTTGCCAAATCCCTTAACATCTTCTTCATCATAGTTTGTTGCATGATCAAGGTCCTCCTCTTCATCATTTTGTTGTTACACAATAAAATCAAGATCCCTAACCATGCTAGCTTGTGCTATTGACTATAGATTTAGTGGTAATAATTTTTCAATCTGTCTAGTAAAGTGTTCAGAACATGAAGAAGCTACCTTATCATATGAGTTGTGTACATCATGGCAAGACACTTCAAAGGATGAGACTACATTAGATGCAAGAAGTAGTGGATCCAAAGCTAAACCTCTAAAGCTAAAAGGATTACCTAGGAGTTCGACAAATATTTCTATTGTGCGAGTTTCAACAAATAAGTTAAAATAATTGATCATGTGATCAATATACTTATCCTTTTGAGTTCGTCACCTTTTATATTAGATCTCATTTGGCCAAATATTAATTGACATCTTATAAAATATTTTTGATACTTACATGTTATTTTCCTTCTACTCCTCTAATATTCGACTTTATAACTGTAATAAACTAATTGATGGATATATAATTAACCAAGCTTAATTGTTAATACAAAATTTCTCATTTTGTTGTATTTATAATCTTACAATTATAATATACAATAACATAATTGTAACTCTCCATTATCTCATTATAATTTTCACACTTAATATCAAAATTTTTCTAACATGACAATGCAAAGTTGAGAGCTCTATATTTACAATTGAAAAGCATATTAAAGTTAAGTAAAATTTATTATAAAAGTTAATTATAATAAACTTTTTAAAATATTTTAACACATTTGAAAAGTAAATTATAATAATTTTAAAAAATTTATTATAATCAACTTATTTCTATAACAAACTTAATTGAGTAAATTTTTATAAAATTTTTTATAAAAAAAAATTATCATAAAAAATAAATAATTTTTTTTATTTTTTAAAAAGTTTTTTTATTTATATTTTAAAATTTTTTAAAAATAAATTATTTTAATTTGTAAAAAAAATATTTATTATCTATCTTAATTTTTCTCTTTTATAAAAATTTATCCAAAATTCAACCCTACAAAAGTTAAAAATCTAATTATAATTGACTTTCCGCAGGCAAATTTATTATAATATTGTAAATTAAAAAACAATTTATATTTTATAGCAAATCTGAAACAATTTCTCAATTTGGGGTTTTTTTGCCACGTGAATCAATTTTTTGCCATAACAGCTGGCGAAAGTAATTAATTTTTGAATTTTTTATACGAAATATGACTTCTTAGAACGGTTATTTTAAAACCGCTCTCATAACTCTATCTTAGAGAGCGATTCCTTATGAACCGCTCTCATAACACTATTTTAGAGAGCGGTTGAAATTTCAATATTAGAGAGCGGTTCAAATGGAACCGCTCTTAGAAGTACATAAATGGACGGCTGGAGAGATTTTGATACACGTGGCAACATCTGAGATGATTCGCGCTGCTACTGGCGAAAGTTTATTTTGCCCTGCAGTTAGCGAAACCGTTCAGGCATTGTAATTATATAAAACTAAATATAGTTTACTTGAGTTAAATAAAATTATATAAAACTAAAAATTGAGTTAAATAAAATAATTATATAAAACTAAATATAATAATTTATACTTAGTTTGATTGTAATAAATAATTTTTACACCTATAATGAAGTAAAATTTTAAAATTGTAAAATTTTAAATGCAGTAATCATAATTTATATGAAATGTATGTATAAAATTTGTATGTAAATAATAAAATTTTTTACTTTTAAAAATGTAATATTATTTATATGATTATAAACTAAATGTAATATATGTAAATTTAAATTAGAAAAATGAAAAAATAAAAATATAATTAAATTTTATGCTAGTAATTAGAGTTTTGTATTTATATAAAATTTATGTAGATTTAAATTAGAAATATAAAAAAATAAAAATATAATTTAATTTTATGCAGTAAGTAGAGTTTTGTATTTAAATAAAATTTGTATGTAAATAATAATATTTTTTACTTTAAAAAACGTAATAGTATTTATATAATTATAAATTAAATGTAATTTATGTAGATTTAAATTGGAAATATGAAAAAATTAAAATGTAATTTAATTTTATGCTAGTAATTAGAGTTTTGTATTTATATAAAATTTGTATGTAAAATTTATGTAGATTTGTATTTAGAATAATTAAAAATTTATATATCTTTAGTTATAATATGTATAGAATATAGGTTAGTATATTTAAAAAGAATTTATTTATTTAATTTTGTTTATATACACCTGATTTTTGCATTTATAATATATTGTAATGAATATAATATGATGTCATTACAATGTGATAATGATTTAGAAAATTTGTTTGACCTTTATAAAATATGTATTATTAATATGTTAGTAAAATATAAATTATTATTATTATTATTGAATGAAATTTTTTATTGTTGTATAAATGGCATCATCTTCACAACAAAGTAGGGTTATTAATCCCGGGACAGAAGATCCATCAAAACTAACATGACTTTTGAGAGCGGTTCAAATGGAACCGCTCTCTAATGTTGAAATTTCAGAGTAGTTCATAAAGAACCGCACTTTAAAATTACTACTTAGAGCGGTTCATAAGAAACCACTCTCTTAAATAGAGTTATGAGAGCGATTTTAACTAAGAAGTCATATTTCGTATAAAAAATTCAAAATTTAATTACTTTCGCCAATCGTATGGCGAAAAATTACAAAAAAATCCAGATTAAGAAATTATTTCAGATTTGCTATAAAATAATAAATTATTTTTTAATTTACAATATTATAATAAATTTGCCCTTTCCGCAAGACGTGAGGGTGCTAAAACATGAAATGAAATTATAATCAAAACTTGGAAAAGAACAAGTCTCAAATTAGTGTTATTCTTAACGATTCCAAATTGAGGCTTAGAAAAAATAAGCAAAGAACAAACAAATTGTTTGCAGTAATGAAATGTATCAAGATTGATTCTGTAATCTGTTGCACGACAAAACAAAGCACAACGAAATGAACACAAACACACATTCTTTCCGTTGTCAAGCAACGGATCTCCATTATCCTTTCCCAAGCTCCCACTTTCAATTCGTTTTCGTCATCACCATGTCCAAATTTTGAATAGCTTTTCTATTTTTTTCTTTGCTTCTTCTAAAGTGTCGCCAGAGATTGAGATAGTTACCTTATTCGACAGTGAAAGAGTAAAAAAAATCCAGAAAGACACGCGATTTCGAAAACGGAACGAGGACACTGCAAATGAGAATCTTCTCAAATAAATTTTTCGCCAATGCCTGCCGCAGCCTCGTAGGCGTAGGACTCGCCACCTCCATTTCCGCGGCCACCGTTGCTGCCTCCAATTCCGCCGTATCTTCTTCTTCTCCTTCTTCTCCTTCTTCTCCTCATTCTTCTTCTCCTTCTCCTTCTTCTTCTCCTTCTCCTTCTCATTCTTCTTCTTATTCCACCGCTACCTCCGCCGCGTCTTCTCCTTCTCATTCCGCCACCGTCACTTCCGCCTCTTCTTCCGATGCCGGCGATTATTCGTCCTTTTATTATTCTTCGTCCGATGGCGAAACGACAGAGCGCGAGCTTCTGAAAACGAGGCTCTGCATCATCGGAAGCGGTCCGGCGGCTCACACAGCCGCCATATACGCCGGACGCGCCGAGCTGAAGCCGGTACTCTTCGAAGGCTGGATGGCAAATGACGTCGCTCCCGGCGGTCAGCTTACCACCACCACCGACGTCGAGAACTTTCCGGGGTTCCCTGAAGGCATATTGGGCGGCGAGCTCATGGACCGCTGCCGCAAGCAGTCGCAGCGCTTCGGCGCTGAGATCGTCGAGGAGACCGTAACGAGTGTGGACTTCTCCCGACGGCCATTTTGGATTTTCACCGATTCCACCATCGTCGAGGCCGATTCCGTCATAGTAGCCACCGGCGCCGTCGCGAAACGTCTGAATTTCGACGGCGCTGGTGACGGCCCCAACGGGTTCTGGAACCGTGGGATATCGGCATGCGCCGTGTGTGATGGCGCTTTGCCGTTATTCCGGAATAGGCCGCTGGCGGTGATTGGTGGCGGCGATTCGGCAATGGAGGAAGCCACCTTTCTCACCAAATTTGGTTCCAAAGTGTATATAATTCATAGGAGGGATAAGTTTAGGGCTTCTAAGATTATGCAAGGGAAGGTGTTGAGTAATCCCAAAATTGAGGTGCTGTGGAATTCAGTGGTGGTTGGAGCTTATGGGGATGATAAGGGGAGGGTTCTTGGAGGGATTAAGGTGAAGAATGTGGTGACTGGGGTTGTGTCTGATTTGATGGTGTCTGGTTTGTTCTTTGCAGTTGGGCATGAGCCTGCTACACAGTTCTTGAATGGTCAACTTGAATTGGATTCTGATGGGTACATTGTGACTAAGCCAGGTACCACAAAGACCAATGTTGATGGAGTTTTTGCTGCTGGTGATGTTCAGGATAAGAAGTATAGGCAAGCTATTACGGCCGCTGGCACAGGTAATTCTTGTTTCCAAAACTTTATCTTTGAATAAATTTGATTGTTCTTAGCAGGTTTCATGATAGTTCTAGATTTATGTGATGTGATTCCTTGTTTTGAAACAGTATTCTCAATTTGATGGCCATGTTTTCTCCTTGTGTTCATTACACGTCATTTTTAATCAAATTGGATTATTTGAGTAGGTTTTGTCATAATTATATGTTCATATGATGCCTGGTTTTCAAACAACGTCTTGAAAGTCATGTTTTCTACACTTTCTCAATGTATTTTTCCTTTTTTATTTGGCAACGACATTTGGTAGAATCACTTGTTGTATATCTTTCAACGTACCTCTGATTGATCAATGTTCCACCATCTATCTATCTATCCATCTATCTAGTAATCCTAGTTTCCTGACTATTTATTACTTGTTAAAGAGAATCAATAGAAGCAGGCCATAGACTTTGGGTGTAAGATATAATCTTTATTGTAGCGTTTCATCTCAGTTATCAACTGTGTGATATGTATATGATGATAGCATTTATATCAATCATGTCCTATTAGAACTTAGAAATCATAGTGCTTCTAAATAAATTCCTTCTATTTTTCATTTCTGATTTGGGAGTTAGTTCTTCATATAGAAAGAATACAGAAAGAGAATTGGGGTTCAAGGCTCAAACTGGATTAGGTATTGATGTATGTTTGGTTAAGTTTGCTTTTCTATTATTTTTAGATTATAAAGAATAAGTTCATTAAGATGAAGAAAGAAAGTACAAGGAAATTGGGTTAAGGGATCTTCCATAGCAAAAAAGAAAATAACGAAAAATACCTTCCCAATCTCTGCATATCTGTTAGTGAAACCCTCTTAACAAGGTCATGAACTTTACCCCAAGTAAAGGTTAATCACCCAATTCTCTCTTCAATCAGCGGCCATGCCAAGAACCTCCTTAAAATAAGTGTTATGTTCCAACCAAATAGTGGAACGGATTATACATTACAATAAAATTTAGCATCTTTATTTCTACTAAAACTGCTAAAGTAGTAATCGAAGTTTGGTCCAAGGACCAAGGACGAAACCATCATTCACCCAATGGCCATGCAAAGTATTCCTACAACAGCAAAACAATGTAAGAATGGATGGATAGCCTTTTTTGAAAATGCAACTAGTCCCTGAATCGTACACATTAAGTTTAGTCAGGGACTAAGTGAGGTCAAAGTACTTAAACATATGTCATTTTGCCATTTTACTCATTCAAGCTAATTTTTAATTAGGGAATCTTAATTCTTCCAGTTAGGGATTTTATATTCCTATGTCAGTTTATTTTCTGTTTAATAGTTCCATTTGCAGGCCACTACACAAACTAATTCCTTAAAATAATAAATAACAAACATGACATGTTTGGTATGGGAATATCCCTATCCTAACAATGGTTAAACTTCCTACATGACAAAATTGAAATCCCTATATTAAAAACACTAATTGTTACACCCTAGTCAAATCATGTAAACTTTTCATCAGACACACAAAGGGAGAGAGAGAGAGAGAACGATTCCTCTATAAATCCTGAAAAACTTAGCTGATTTAGATGATTTAGTCTTCTTCCTTCCAGGTTTACTCCTAGACCGGAGGGGAATGCAATGTTCCATTTGTCTATGCGTGCAGTAGTGGAATCTCCATTGTGTGTGTGATGGTGAAAAACAAAAAGTTCTTCCTTAAATGCTTAATCATTAAGCTAATATAAACAATTTGCTTGTTTGCTTCCGAGTATTGAGCTTTCCCTTTGCTTTCCATGTGTTTGTCAGATCTTCCTTCTGTTTGAGTATGCAATACATGTTGTTCCTGCCTACATTCTTAAAACTGTTTTGATCTGGTTGATTTGGAATCCTTTTCTCCTTGGTTGCTATAAAGCGTTCATTCTTCTGTTGTATGTACATTCCCATTTTGATATCTTTTGCTGAAGCTTAACAATTTTGTGTCAGATAGGGTTGTGTTTTCTTTCATTTACAAGTAGATATTGGTTAGTTATTCAGTTTCTTCAAACCCATCTACGAGTGTATAGATTTAATGCTTTTGCAAGTTGCGGAATTCACTCCAAAATACACTATTGCTAACTATTATTAAAATTATGATGAGTTAGACCTAATGTAGATCTCAAAATTTTCATTTCACTACGGATCTATTGCTTCATTCCTTATCACTCTTTTGTTTGGAAAATGGGAATCAAATTAAGAGGTCTATTCTGGTTCAAATAGTAGAAGGGGACAAGTTATAGGAATTCAGAATCACCTAATAATTTTTCCTTGTATTTGAATTTTTTGAACTGGAAATAATTTAGTAGATCGTTACATAAAAATAAGGCTGTTCGTGGCTTTGGCGGTGTTTGTTGTTCATTGCACTTAAACATATAATATGCATACCTAATGCAATAAGAGTCAGATATATGCAGCAAAACAAAGCCTTATTCTCCCAAAGGATAATGGAAATCATATTATTGGTGCAGGGTGTATGGCAGCCTTGGAGGCAGAACATTACTTGCTAGGGAGTTCATAGGAGGGTAAGAGTGGTTGACTCGCCACGTTTTACCCGGAGCTCAGAAGATGCTTCATTAGATGCAATGTTCTTAATTCATGTAAGAAAGTGAAAAAAAAAAAAAAAAAACCGTTAGCATCTTTATCTGTACATTGATATTCATCATTTGATTGGAAAGCAAAGTAGACTGACTTTGTGATGAATATAATGGAAGCCGTAAAACTCACATAAACACGTTAATATGCGTCAGTTTGGTTACTTTAATATGAGTTTTCTTGAGATTTTCTCTCTCTCATTCTCTTATACTTTTTTATGATTCTAACTTTTTTTTTTTAAATATTAATTTTTTAAGTGAATTTTTTTAAAAAAATTATAAAAAATAAAAATATTAATTTTAAAATTATAAATTTTTAGAGAAAAAAAATATTTATTTTTTTATTTTTTGTAAAAATAAAAAATATAATATTATTATTTATATTATTAAATCTTTCATCATTTTTTATTATCTTTTTCTCTCAATATTAAATGTGCGATAAAAGAAGGGTTTAACTTTTTCTTTTTTTTCTTCTTTTTTCTCCTTCAAACTCTTCTCTTTTTTTTCCTTTCAAACTTCTAAATAAAGACTAAGTATGTCAACATTTTAAAAGAAAACTTCTTTGTATTCTCTATTTTAAAAATAAAAGAAATTATTATTATTATTATTATTAAAGAAACTAAAGAAACCAACACATTTTTTATTAATTTTTTTTAATACAAAACTTTTATTATCAAGTGAAATTTTATAAAGATGCATTAAATCATATGTATTTTAATCCTTTTTGGTACATCTTACATAAATTAAATTTTTTTTTATTTGACAATACATTATCAATATTTTTCATAATTTTATAAATAAATATCAAATACAAATTTAATTAATTTATATATTATAAATTATAGATTTTATTCTACCACTTAATGACAACTTATATACTATTTCTTTTCATGGACAATGACTTCATCACAATTTAGGTCTATATAACTCATATTTCATTAAATTCTTAAATTATTGTTAATTTTTAAATTCTCCTTTTCTGTTAATAATTTTTTAGGGATTAAAATTTAAATTAATTAATTTTAATTTTAATTTTAATAATAAAATTTTATTTTTCATCTTATATTTTAATTTATATTTTGAAATTTTTATTATTTTAGATTTACTTCTTTTTCTAACAATTTATATTTTAATTAAATTAAAAAATGTACAATACACGAAACATTAAATAATTAATTAATTATATAAAACATAACCAAAAGGAGAGTTTTGGCACAGTGGATATTAAATCCATAATACACATATATCCATAGAATTAAATCCATAAATATTAGCGTGATAATGTAAGCAGTTTTTTTTTTTTTAAATGTTTCTAAGAACACATGTTAAGAAGTTAAAATTAATTTTTTTAATTAAAATAAAATATTTATTATTTCAAAATCATAAAAATATTTAATGTATACTTTGTTTACAGTAATTTAAAATATTTAATAAAGTAAATTTTATGCTTTTCAACGTGTTCTCTTAAAAAAACCGGTAATATAAATGTCTTTCCTATATAAAATGAGTCTTAATATTACACAAATCTACACAAAATAAAAAAGCATGCAATGATGTCATGACAAGCTCAACCGATGTTTAGATTCACATCGACTAACCTAGCAACTCATGTCCAATGCAAAAACTACAATAAAGTGTGTTGAATAAAACTAAAACGCAACCATACGAGACAAACACGCACTCATAAGAACCTTTTTACATGACTCAACCTAATTATTAGAAAAACTTTTAAAAGCAAATTTGATATGCCCATTTTATTTAATTCATAGAAACAAAATTTAAAACCAATTTCGTGTCACTATTTTTTTAAGTTAAACAGATATTAAACTTTTTGCTCACATGGATCATGCCAGTTCATTTTGTTTTCTCTTTGCGGGTTTGCATCCGCGTTTGCTACATTAGATAGTGTCTATTAAACGTGCATCTATTAGCTGTCAACCGCAGTTCCAAACACACGAAGCTCTTACACAACTCTGCACATAATTGTCATGCATATATTTCACGCGTAAAACTCCTGTCTACGAGTTAGATCACTAACTGTACAAATTATTTTGAAAATATGGGGATCCAAAAGTTCTGCAAAAGATGCCAACCACCAAAAAGACGTAATTGGGACTTTTTAAACAAAATAATATATAAAAAAAATAAAAATACTGAAATAGACCTGTCCCAAAAATATTTACCAAATTAGACCGATTTACTATTTACGTACAAAATTCAACTTCCCAAAAACCGAATTCTGGTTTTCAAATTTGTGTCTGTACAGTAGACTCTCAAATGGAATTCGGTTTTGGGGCAACCGAATTCCATACATAATTTGCATTTATGTTTTTGTATATAATAAAAAAATATTATCTAATATTTATGTTTATATATTTAAATTATGTTAATTTGTGTGACAAATGCATCCCCTCATTTTGTAAATTCTTTTAAATATGCTGCGAGAAAGTCGACTTCTGAGAGCGGTTAAATAGGAACCGCTCTCCAAAGTCGACTTCTAAGAGCGGTCAAATACGAACTGTTCTCCAAAGTCTACTTCTAAGAGCGGTCCAATTTGAACCGCTCTCCAAAGTCATTTTAATATGAATTATGAATATTAATATGATAATATTATTTTGAATAAGTATTTCATTTAAAATGCAACATGAGAAATTTTAATGTCAATATGTGAAAGTGTTTGAAGGGGTTGGAGTGTGGGAAGTAAAATTATGACATTTATTAATATAACGTCTAGTTAAGTTAGCTTTTTCATCTTCTTTTAAATATACTTTTAAATTTCTACATCATATTCTTTATTATTTATCTTATATACATATTTTTTAATTTAATAAAATAATAATTTAAAAATATTTTATCATTTACATATTCAAATAAATATATGCCAAATATTCTTTATTAATTTCACATAATATAAATATATAATTATTATTTCACACAAATTAACATAATATAAATATTTATTTTCATATAATATAAAAAGAAAAATATAATTCAAATAATAAATTTTATTTTATTCTTTTTAAAACAATCTTTTTATTATTAAATTTGACAATATATAAATTATATAAACATGGATTCGTACACGCATGGTTGGAATGAGTTGAGTTGGAGGATTTGGAGAGCGGTTCAAAACAACCGCTCTCACAAGTCGACTTTGGAGAGCAGTTTACTCTAACCGCTCTCAGTAGTCGAATTTGGAGCGATTCGTTTTGAACCGCTCTCAGAAGTAAACTCGCAACATATTAAAAGTAATTTACAAAATTAAGAGAATATATTTGTCATACAAATTAACATAATATAAATATTTATTTTCACACAATATATAAATAAAAATATAATTCAAATAATAAATTTTATTTTATTATTTAAAACTATTTTTATTATTAAATTTGACAATATATAATTATTATATAAACATAAATATTAGATAATATTTTTTTTATTATATATAAAAATAAAAATGCAAATTATATATGGAATTTGGTGAAATTTTTACAAAAATAATATTAAAAAAATAAAAATTATAATAATAATTGAATAATTTTAAATTTGTATTTGATAAAAATTACAATAATAATTTATTTAATTTTATATTTTTATAAAATAAATAAAAGTATTAAATAATAATAAGATTATTTATTTAATTTGAGATATTAATCTTTATTAAAATTTATACATAATTATTTATTTAAAAAATCTTTTATTAATATTAATAAACATTATTAAATAATATTATGTAGATATATATATATATAATAATAATATATTTAATATAAATTACTAATACTAAAATTTATAAGTTGCAATCACATTCATAAAATTAAAAATTACATGAAAAAAATTTTAAAGTAATAACAACAACATAAATCAATGACAGGAAGTAGAAGCTTAAGTAATGTTTGGACATGTCTTCCTTGTGTGACCAGGGGTGTGACAATAAGAACAATTTTTTTGCCGACTTTGTTGTTCTCTAATGTCCATATCTGTCCTTATCCTACTAGACTTGGGTCGACCCTTTGAAGTTCTTTTCAGTTCTGGATTTGGACACAAAGTTGAGCCTGTGTAAGTTGGCCAATAGTCTTCATGTCTGAGTTCTCCAAACTGACCTTCGTATACCTTAGAAACTTGTTATAAGGTATACACGGGAGATATGTATATGTCAAAGTTGTGGTGTGTGTATAAGCATGAAGCAAGTACATGCGAGCATGGAATGTGAACTTTTTGAAATTTGCCACAATCACATCACATTTCATCTAACCGTACTGTAAATCTTCCTACGGGTCAAATTTCTGTCGAATGTTGCATTTCTTCGACTAAAAATCTAGTGCTTGTTCTGTCAAAGGTGATGACTCTATGAGTGTTTGCGTTTGACTGTGCATCTTGAATTGCTTTAGTTGCAACCTCCGAGTACATATGTCCAGCATTAATCATTGCATTTATTTCTCTGTCTCTGTCAATGAAGAACTTATTGCAACGGGTGTATGTTGCCAGAACCATGGAGTAATTTAGCAAGTTTCTGGTTTTCTTCAAGACCGAATTGATTGACTCCACTAGGTTTGTTGTCATGTGTCTCAACGTCGTCCATTGTCCCATGCCAGTGTCCATTTTTTCCTTGGGATGTTGTCCAACCATTGTGCAGCTTCAGGATTATTATCTTTTACTATGTTGTAATAGTAAAAGAATCTCGGTTCAGTCATCCCATATGCTGGAAACAAGATTACAAAAAAAATTAATATAACTAGCTAAGCAATTGTATAAAATATTAATGAGAATATAAAATACGTAAAAAATTAAAATTACCCATATTGACGACATTTTTCTTCAGTGCAGCATTTTTGAATTGTCGTATGAAGTTTTGTGCAATTTGTCTAATGCAATAGACATGGACAGAATTGTTTTCTGTCCAGCCACTTCCATTTTTGGAGTATGCACTTCTTATGACCTTGTGACGATCTGAAATGAGGCACAACCCCTCTTGCAAAGTTACGTACCTCCTTAAGTTTTTCGAAAAAAAG